CTGGTTTTTCGGGAATTGGGTCTGGTTTTTTGGGAATTCTGCGGGTTTTTCAGGAATTCTGTGGGTTTTTCAGGAATTCTGCGGGTTTTTCGGGAATTCTGCGGGTTTTTCGGGAATTCTGTGGGTTTTTCGGGAATTCTGTGGGTTTTTCGGGAATTGGGTCTGGTTTTTCGGGAATTCTGTGGGTTTTTCGGGAATTCTGTGGGTTTTTGGGGAATTGCAGCTGGTTTTTCAGGAATTCTGCGGGGTTTTTGCGGGATTTGGGCGCAGCTGTTCCCGATGAATTCCCGAGGATGAGGAAGGAGCCGCAGCTGCTCCGGATTTGGGATCCGGGGGCGTTTCCTTCCGGCCTTTTCCCGGGAACGCTCCGAGGTTTCCACATGTGGCCGGAATTAGGGAGGCGTTTCTGCAGGGGAAAAGGGGGGAGCTCATCCCTAAAAACTGCGGGAAAAGGGGGGAGCTCATCCCTAAAAACTGCGGGAAAAGGGGGGAATTTATCCCTAAAAACTGCGGGAAAAGGGGGGAATTTATCCCTAAAAACTGCGGGAAAAGGGGGGAATTTATCCCTAAAAACTGCGGGAAAAGGGGGGAATTGATCCCTAAAAACTGCGGGAAAAGGGGGGAGCTCATCCCTAAAAACTGCGGGAAAAGGGGGGAATTGATCCCTAAAAACTGCGGGAAAAGGGGGGAATTTTTCCCTAAAAAATCAGGAATTTATCCCAGAAAACTGCGGGAAAAGGGGGGAATTGATCCCTAAAAACTCCGGGAAAAGGGGGGAGTTCATCCCTAAAAAATCCTGGAAAAGGGGGGAAATTATCCCTAAAAAATGCCGGGAAAGGAGGGAATTTTTCCTTAAAAGCTCCAGGAAAAGGAGGGAATTTATCCCTAAAACTGAGGGGATTTTCTCCCTAAAAACTCCAGGAAAGGGAGGAATTTATCCCTAAAAACTCTGGGAAAAGGAGGAAAAGATTCGGGAAAAGGGGGGAATTGATCCCTAAAAAATCAGGAATTTATCCCTAAAAGCTCCAGGAAAAGCAGGAAAAAATTTGGGAAAAGGGGGGAATTTATCCCTAAAAAATGAGGAATTTATCCCTAAAATATTCTGGGGAAAGGAGGAAAAAATCCAGGAAAAAGAGGGAATTTATCCCTAAAATTGAGGGAATTTATCCCTAAAAACTCCAGGAAAAGGGGGATATTTATCCCTAAAAAATCAGGAATTTTTCCCTAAAAATTCTGGGAAAAGGGGGGAATTTATCCCTAAAAAAATCAGGAATTTTTCCCTAAAAACTCCGGGAAAAGGAGGGAATTTATCCCTAAAAAATCAGGAATTTATCCCTAAAAACTCTGGAAAATTATGCCTAAAAATGAGGGGATTTTTCCATAAAAACGAGGGAATATTTCTATAAAAAATCAGGAATTTTCTCCCTAAAAAAGAGGGAATATTTCCATAAAAAATCAGGAATTTTCTCCCTAAAAAAGTGGGAATATTTCCATAAAAAATCAGGAATTTTCTCCCTAAAAAATGGGAATATTTCTATAAAAAATCAGGAATTTTCTCCCTAAAAAAGTGGGAATATTTCCATAAAAAATCGGGAATTTTCTCCCTAAAAAAGAGGGAATATTTCCATAAAAAATCAGGAATTTTCTCCCTAAAAAAGTGGGAATATTTCCAT